GGGGGGGGGGGGGGGGTGTTCGGGCGCGGCGTGGGGTGGTGTGGGGGGGGGGGGAGTGGGTCCAAAATTTCTACCCTATACACTTCAACACTCCTTTCAGATCGTGTTTCACAAAAAGAACTATATGAAATTAAAAGAAAAAACTTTAGAATTATATTTTGAAACAATCATACGAAAACCGAATTCACATCAATTTTTTTCACATAAAATATTAAAAAAATACTAACACATAGAAGTGAATCTTAATAAATCAGTGCCGATGTCTTACATGCATGAAATGTTAGAACTCAGCTGTAAAGTGAATAATTCAGTCCCTGAAGTTTCAACACATTGATAATCAGGTTAACAAAGATTCATCTTTTCACAATAATTAATGTATTGATGATTTCTAATTCATTTGTATTATAATCTTCGTATTATTCCAACATGAATGAAATATCTTCCGAACCATTAAACAATTATTTTTTTAACAATGCTCTATGAACACAGTCTGACAATCGGTCAAATCTCCATAGTTATTCTTTTAATCTTTGAACTCATACAACTATAAAAATGATTTTTATCAATTCGAACAATAATTCCTTTGAAGAGATATTTTCGTTTCATTAGTATTTTATTTTTACTTAAAAAGAAATATTAATACAAATTTATTATTATGATAACCAAATTTGTATAGCTTCTCCATTATTTTTAACATTGATCATCTGTTCATCAAGAATATTATTAGGAAATGTTTGACGACGTTTTTTCATAAGATATTGACGAGAAAATGGATCATCGACTAATGTATCTTGACTATAAGAAATTTTAATATAAGATAAGTTTTCCAAACGACTTAGAAATATTTCAATAATAGACATACAATCATCAAATGAAAACACTTGAAGTTCAATATGACTGAGTGATGGAAAATGCTGAACAAGTTTTGATGTAAGTTTTGAAGGAAAATAAATTTTTTCTGTTACTGATGTAATCATTTTAATTTGTTTGAAAATTGGAATAAGAGATGAATTATTGATGAATTTTGATGAAATTAATAATGGAGTATTAATTATAAGATCAATTAGATTTGGACATGCTCTGAAATTAAAACAAAAAATTTTCAATCATTATATTTATATTTAATATCAGTGATTACTATTTGATAAAATAAAATAGAATCTAGTTGATTATTAAATGATATAATTATCAAGAAGTATTTTAGTTCCTATCATTGCTAAGATGTCGTCAATTTAGAAATCAACACAAAAAAAAAGTAACGCACTAGATAAATGTATTTCAAATTCAAAGATAATTTTTATCCGTGATTTACAAAATATAAAAAAAAGCACAATCTCAAGAAAAAGATGTATTCTATAAATATAAAACATATTTACTGTAAAATAAATTGAATATCTTTCCATCGAGACAAATCACAGTTCATTGATGGAAATTCCAGTTGAGTAATATTTGGTAAATAAACAAAATGTGAAAGATGAGTAACACTTTCTTTTGCGTCAATATTATCATCATTTGTTTCATGAAAATTAACTAAAAAGACAAAATCAATATTATATAATCAAATTCATCTATATGCAATAAAAAAGCAAATAATTGTTTTGATAAGTTAAAAGAAATATATTCTTCTTACAAATATTTAATAAATTGTTCCACAATGGTGAACCTCTTGTTGGCATAACTATAACCAGATGTTTGATTTGTTGATATAAAGGACCAGACCAAGTAACAATTGGTCTATCCTTTGTCAAATGTATTCTTAAAAGATTTGTATCTGAATAAAAAAGAGAAGGATGATCTGTTGTTGTTGATCGTATATCAAATAAACCAGAATGAATAAAAGGCATATTTATATCTATGCTTTCTTTGTATTTACAATAATTATTTGTTCGTAACATGATAAATTCTTCTAAAAGACAAATAAATATACCTTTAAATATTAAACAAAATAATTTTTTTCTTCGAAAATAAGATTTTTTGAAAAATTTTACTTTTTTAAAATATTTCTTCCGTCCACTGAAATATTACTTCAATTCACTTCTTTCAGTGAAAATTTAATTATAAAAAAAAAAAAACAAACTTCATGTCAAGTACATTCTTTTCAGAAACCACTTTTTAAGGCTATAAATTATTTTTATTTACCTCGAATACAATAATAGAAATTCCATCGTTCAATGATCATGTTCCAATTCGAATATTTTTGAACGAAATATTCAAAAGAATTGACAACAATATCTAAATCTAATCTTGGTTGTGTTTTTCTAATTGACATATCAAATTCAAATTTAGATAAATATCGAACATAACGTTCTATCATTTCTCGCCACATATAACCATTGAGCAATTCACCAGGAAATGGCCATGTTGCTAATCGTACTTCCAAGGCAAAACAAAAATGAACAAGATTAGGCATACAATGTAAGATAGAAGCAATTGAACGACTATCACATTTTGCAAGAATTTTTAAATCGAAAGAGATCACTTGTAGCAACATAGGAAGATTATTATCATTAATGGATGGTGTTGAATTCGAAATACTAAAACAACGGATATTATATTTATTATTTTTCTGATAGAGATTTTTTTTATTAAATATAATTACTAGTCAGAAACTTACTTGATAGTATTATTTTCAATTTGATCTTGATTTTCTATTGTTATTCCTAAATATCGAATTGTATGACAAAGTCGAAGAATTGATATAATTGAATAAATAGGTAAAGTTGGCAATGAACTGGAAATACATAATCTAAATCTTATAAGATTCGAAGGTATCGAAGTTAAATTTGATATGTCCATGTAAGTATAACGATAAAGAAGTGAAATTGAACGAAGATCAGGTGATTTGTGTAATAACATAATTTGAGTTAAATCATGTTTATTTTTTTCAGTTATATTTCCATCATTTAATGCATAAAAACTGAATGAAACAAGTCTGTTAAGATCTTTGATTTGTTTAAAAACGTTTTCAAGTATAGTTGTTGAATTAATTGAATAAAATATACATGATTCAATATTAAGAAATCTGTGTCGATTAAATATTAAATTAATAATTGATGAATAATCACGAATTGTATCAAATATCTCTAATGAAATTACTTGATCAGCATGATGAATAAGATGAGAAGAAAGAAAATTAATTTGACGATAACAATGATCGGGAAAAATAACAATACGAAGTGAAATCGATTGTATAATAGACGAAATTCGTCGATTCAATGATGTAAATATAGTAAAAATTTCTAGTGCATCGAAATACTCAAATATTTCGAAGAAAATCTCATTTGATAAATCTTCGAGTTGGGTATGTGTATTCATATGTGCAAATAATAACAATTATTAATAGTAATAATAATAGTGTGATGATTCAATTTCGTCTTCTGTACACAATGCATCAAATGTACGAATCATTGACAAAGAATATGTTATATACTCTACAATAGACAGTCTATATACAATATTGCCGACGAGAAAAAATGAACAATGAAGTTAATCGTCCATTTTTTCACAAATAGAAGAAAAAATGTCGAAAGAGAAATATATCGAAAATAAAAATGTCGAAAACAAGAATATGAGGTGAAGATGAATATGTAAGATTAAAAGTGAGGGTGAGGGAGATTTGTACTTCGATATACTCTCGTCTTTAGCATTTCTATCCATCTACATTTGTATTATTTTTGTTTTCGACATTTTTCCTTTCTGCCTTTTTCCATCATACCTTTCATAGTATTTTCGAAAAAAAGTAGTCCATTGATGACGCATGGGTTATTTTAAAATTTTAAACAAATATGTGTTATTTTCAAGGGGGAAAAAAGCTGATTGCAATCAAAACAATCCTTGGCGATCATTAGCAATCAGGGGATTAGTTCCTCACTAAAGCATGATTGTCATTGTGCTAAATAATGGAAATTAAAAGTAGTATCAGATGCAGCCAGAGTGCATTATCTGATAGTCAAAAAACCGAAAGCAATCATTGACAATCATCAGCAATCTTGGCTAGCAGAATATCAGCCTGTCCTCCTGGACATTAGACTTTGTCAAAAACATGATTGTCATCTTGTTTAGTGATGACAATGAGAAGTGTATTCAGAAACAACCTGAATTTTTTATCTGATGATGAAAAAACAGAGAGCAATCATTGATAATTAGACAATTAGCTTTTTCCCCTTTGTTTATTATGGACTATCACACAGACAAAGTCAGAAAGATAAAATTTGAAAGAAATCAAAGATTGTTCTGGCACAATTTTAACATTTAAAATATGTTGGATATGTATCTATTTGATAGGCTCTACGCTGAAAATACAAAAAAGAAGAAAAATTATCAAGAGATGTGGGTGATTTGAGATATTCTGTGTTTTATGAAATATTCATGTTCGGAAAAGATGACTGGAATGCATCATTTCATCCAAATGTAATAATTTAATAGCAGATGAAAGCGTTTTCTTTTCGTTTTTTAATATATCCCTTATCACCTGTGGTATTTTTAGCTTCTTCGATTTTCTGAATATGTGACAGTGTTCATACCGTTCTCTTGAAAAAATGAAACATAAACATCAAATTATAATCTATAAAACGGTGTTCAAGAAAGAATTGAAAATAATATTTAGAAACAATATTTGAACATTAATAAAAACTGAAGGAATACGATTATTGCTAAGTATTAACAAAAATATATTAAAGCTCTGTACAAAGGCAAGATTGATTATATGCTTTTATCATAAAAGATGTTTTTTTTCTCATTAGGTATCTGTAATATTCTCTGATATTATATGTAATTAAAGAATGATGTGAAAACTGTATCAATCAAATCCCATATAGATTCATTTATTATTACTGGATATACCTACAATGTTTTCTCTGTTTCTTTGTTCTAGAAGAAGAACAATATTATAATTGGATGAGGCTTTCAAAGTCCAATGGTTACCAATATTGTTCAACAAGGTGTGTTTTCATTTTTTCTTGGTGTCTAGAACGCTGACAAGAATCCAAATCATGTTCGGGTGTAGACATATATACACAACAAAGGTATGAAATAATTAAATTATGAGCAGTTTTTCAAAAAAAAACCGAACTCACGACTTTTGAGTGTCGCAAACATGCAAATATAATCTTTTTAGACTAGACAAAACAAGTGAGCAAAGAATTGTCTACTAAATGAGACGTCTACGAGTTGTATACAAGTCTTTTTCAATAAGATGTAACAATCTGATTGAAAGTATCGAATTGAATTTTTCATAGAAAATAATTGCAAAATGGCTTCAACAGCTTCTGTGAGATGGCTCTATCTCAGTAATAAAAAAGAGTCGTAGAAAATTCGAAGGCATCTCATTTTGTAGGATATTGTTTAGTATATCGTTTCGCCCGATCTGAATAAAACGATATTTACACCTTCTGGATACTGAAAAGTCGTGAGTTCCATTTCTCTTTGAAAAGCTCGCTGTTGGAAACCTAGTTAAAATTATATTTTTCAATATTATCTTCTATGTATATGTTTCTCTCCTCGAAGCGCAATACGAATTTTTTTAGTGTTGAAGACAGGACAAATAATTAAAAACAAACCTTGTTGAATAATTTTTATGGTCACTGTATATATGATAACAATAAAATTCTTTTTTTTTTCTTCCAAACGAATATTATCTTTAATCTGTGATGAAAAGTATATTATTATGTAGATAGATTGAATAAAATATAGAGTAATTATTGTTTTTTTTTTTATATTCTATATAAGTGAAGTTTATTTAAATACATGAGAATTATTCATATGTATGAAGAAAATAATCTTTGAAATGTTTTTTTTGGTAATCGAGTAAGTTAATGTGAATATGGATAAATGACTTTGGAACAATTCATCCGTGTTGCATCTCTTGTAAAATTATATGTTATGTTTTTTAATGGTCTATAAGGAATAAAAATTCGAACATTATTTGGCAAACGATGTTTTTGTATCAAGCAAAAATTCTTCTAAATAATCTTTATGAGCTTGATGAAGATCAAGTTGAATTAGATGAGAATATTTAATAATTGATAAATTTTGATAATTATTTTTTGATTGATTAAAGAATTTTTTCTTTTGTGATTTATCATTGTTTAACGATAATTTTTTCATAAATGGAAATGATTGTTGAATTCGAATAAAAAATTCATGTTCAAAAGGATATTCATCATATAATGAAATTTCACGAACATATTTAAATAAACCATCTGGATAATTATTTGTTATATCATGATAATGTTTTAATTGATATGGATATGTATAAATATGACATTGACCTATTCTTGTTTTCGGAAGATAATAAACATAAGAGATAATTCGATTGTCGTGAAATTCTCTAAAGGTATGTTGAATATCTTCATTTGATGGCAAATGAATTTGATTATTAAGATTAATAGTCGAAAAAATAAAGAATATAAATTTGTTTAATCGTAACATATAATTAATTATATTTGTCTTCAATTGATCTCCATCAATCAATTTTCCATGAACTCTAAGATATAGATCAAGTGTTTCTAAATTCAACATTCGATGTAAAAGTGGTATAATTAACTCATCATAAGTAACGTTACAATAATTACAATGCAGTGAAAAGCATCTTAATTTAGGAAGATTTTCCTTAAAAAAAGAATGATATTGATTAGTTTGGGAAAAATTGAATATTAATCAAAATAACGTACCTTATTATTGATTGTTAAATGTGAAGAATGAATGGTATGAATCTCAACATAAAATGCACGAAGTTGATTAAAACGACCATCAAGTAAATAAAGACAATCAGAGAAAGCCGATACAGAAACATGCAATTCTAACAGAGTTGAAGAAATAATAATTATTTCTATAATATATTTAGTTAAATAAACTACTGTCGGTTCCAGAAGTAAATGGAGAAAACTCTAGGAGGAATATCTCCCGAACGGATGCAGCTAACGACCTGCGGTTTTCACCAATCGAAAGAGGAGGAGTGGGGACGTCTTTTTCTCCAATAATGTATAAGACGAAATCCTTTTAAAACTAATCATATTCGAAGAACATTCAAAAGAACCCAAGACAATGACCTGCCAGCTAGATAAA